GTTCTTCTATGTGTTCCTTATACTACTGTAGCGGAATAATAAATGCGGAAAGTAAAGAACACAAATATTTTTACGTGAAAAACACCTGGCTCAAAAGGTGAAAAAATCACGACCTACTACCTAGCAGGATTTTTCCTAACACTGCACTAAATCACCGAGCCTAAAAAACAGTATTTACAAAACTCTTTGTAAACCTAAGGATTACCTCTAACCCTTTGTGGCAACCAACCTCTAGCTGTTGCGACAACTTCAAGTTAACTCTAACTTAAATACAACACTCAGAGTATCTAGTATAATTGCTTCTAGATAAAGCTGAAAGGTACAATTTGAAACACCTACTACAATGAAATATAGAATAAAAGACAGAAACTTAGAACTAGTTCTTCTATCTGGCTCATGTAAATTCAGGTTCGCACACTTGAATCACACACGAATTGCTTACAAAATGCCTTGCTATTTTTGCTCTCAACTCACGTTTAACTTCAGCGTTTGTGCGTACCTGTAAAATGAGAACATCCTGCAATTTATAGAGTTAGTAGAATAGGAAATAACTAGAGTTCTAATGTAATACTCTTCCTTGGTAGAAGAGTTCTAGTTATCTTCAACTTCTAACTTCTCCCTTATCTAGGATAGAGTTCTCTCGAGTAAGGAGTCCTTCTACTTATCAATTATGCAATCTTTTCGTTCAGGAGATATCAGATATAACCACTTAAGCTTATCTCCTTCACGTGCATATCTTGTGCCCGAATTCTGCCCGTGTCTGTGTACATTGTGTTTGGACCTGGTTCATGCTTGAGTTTCTTTGTCAATCATCAAAACAAACTTCACTTGAGCCAACAATTTGGTAACCGCCTATTTGAATAATTCTGTGTACCAGAGGTTAAAATTTCGCTACTTCTGTCATCTTAACAAATTGGTGGATATTTACCTCATGGCATTAAAATATATCAGATGACTTAGTCCAATCAGATTTTAGGTTACTATCATTTATTCAGAATATTTTAAAATGTTAACAAAAATTAATGATTAGCACTCAAAAGCAGATTAGTACAATATTGCAAACTTTAAAGCATAATCTTTTTAACATTATTATATTTTAAATGGTCATTTCATTAAGAGGACCGGGAGAAATACTCCCATAAAAAAGTTTCCAATAAAATAAGCATGGTTTGATTGGAGAGATTGGAAAAAATCATTCTCACATAAGTAATGCATTGTTTAATTGGTTGTATAAGAAAAAATCATTCTCACCCCATACACTAATGCAATGTTTGATATACGATACTAACTAAGATTCATATTAAGTTATGCAAAACTTTATGCATTATTTCGGTAGAAGAGCAAGGATTTCATTAAAAAAATTAAAATATAAATAATTAAATACACAAAGAAGCTTAAATATTCTTAACACGTGTCATTGTACGACACAACCTTTTGTTGCACATTCATTACTTTTCTACTTATGGTTCTTCTTTTGAGTTTTCTCTTTTGATAGATGTGCCTATTTAGCTCTTTTTTTACATATACTACTAATAATAATTCTAGAAACTAAAAATAAACCTAAAAAATAAATGGTCATATCTTATGCTTAATTAATCTTGGACATCTTTACGTTAAAGGCTCATGCATGAAGAGAAACTCACAATCACATTTATATTTTTTTGTATTTATTTTATTTGGATTAGATTTGTAGTGCCAATCCAATACCTAAAAAGATGAAACAAACTCATTTAGTCTCTAGCAAATACATCGCGATTTTATCAGCTGCTTTTGTGCGATCACTTCCCAAACAAATACAGATTTTTTCAAAATAGAAAGCCCAAAATTACAACTAAAATAATTTACAATCTTTATAATTACATTGGAAATCCACAATAAAAAAAAATATATCAAAAAATTAGAAAAGAAAAAAATTAAATACAAGGAAGAGAAGATTTTAGAGTTCAAAAGAGATAAACGTGGATGAAAATTTGAAACGAGAAATAAGGTTAGACAAAATAGTACAACCAGAGTCCATTACAAGAAGGGGCTCACTGGGTGATCAAAAGGCTTAATTTAATCAAATAAAGAATTTACGTTTTAGAAGATTTACTGAGATAAAGGAAATAAAAAAGCTTTGAATAGTGAAATAATATTTTTTTAAAAAACTTATTTAGCTTTAGACCATAGTTTAAAAATATTAAGATGAAGAAAAAGAATAAGAGATTCAATTTAGATCATGCAAAGAAGAACTGTATATACTAACAACTTTTTGAACTTAATTTATTTTTTAGGTCAATGACTCTTATGTACATCTCAAACAAAACTTACGCTCATGATTGGATCTTAGCTAAAGCTTAAATAAATTCTTGCATCATTCGCACGGTACTCAAATGTTACAATATCTTACATGCTATTCATGAACTTCATCAAAACTTCTACACATGTTTGAGATTTTTGATTATAGACTACTTCAACGTTACTTTTAAAAATCTATTAACTAAAACCAGGGGCGGATCTATGTAGAGGTGACGGGGTGGTAAGCCACCCGGTCGCTCGGATAGAATTTCACGTACTTAGTGGTGTTTCACTAATATTTCATGAGGAAAAAGTATATAAACAATTTATGGCACCCAAAGTCTCAAAATGGTTGTAGGTGCCATGGACAAAGTAGTCTTTCCCAAGCCCAATACCCATGATCGATCCTCCTTAACTCATATTGAGTACTTTTTTGTGTTCCTTCTTTTGGAGATTGTTTTCTTTTCTCCTCTTTTTCATAATTTCTTTTATCTTCTTGTTGATATTTTCCCTATATACAATCTCATTTTTATTAGTAGTTCTTTAAATTATAGAAGTATATTTGCCTATGTTTTCTTGTTCTAGATCTCAATTTTTTAAATTTGAATATGTTTTTAATCATTTTTCTTTTTTATGTAGTTAATATTATTTTTTCCTTGAAATGACCAAATATATCAGTTTCGTTATCATGTGTTTATTTATGCACCAAAAGATCTTGTAAAGCAAACCAAATTAACTCAAAATGGTTTGAACCGAATTAATTTAAAAATATAGCGAACCGGCCAAATTCATGTATACATAATAAATTTAACCTCTTTGACTACGGGTATATTTACATTAAATACAGTGACATCCGCAACCATCAAATTCTGGATCCGCCTCTGACGTATTGTATTTTTAAAAGTTCAAACGGAATAAACATGTGAGGGTTGCAAAGAAGCTACTTAACAATGTTTTTGGAAGCAATTTTTAGTTATACTTCTATAACAATGAAAATGAGATAGCAAAATGGTAGTATCGTATATTCTATATCAATTACTTATAATAATTGTGGGATATCTCCTCATGGCAGTCAATTTTAAGAATGGTTCGTATTTATTTTTCATCCGATGATTGCCTCCCGGTTAAATTGATGGACATATGTAGCAGACACGACGCATTATTGTGTGTTTCCGGAAATTAAACTAAATAAAAAAAAAATTAAAAAAAAAGAGGAATAAAATCACCACGTGTCATTATTTTAGCCTGCTTCTTCTTCTCATCTTCTTTCTTGCCGAGTTGATTCGATAGAACCAAACCAACGGTAACCACATAAAATATACTACGATTCCACTGTCTTTTAGCGCCAAAAAACAGTTGAAACAGCAGCAGAATCACCATTCTCAAGAAAAAAAAATCCAAGAATGTACTCCATAGCTGCAAGCTCTTTCCTCATCCATAAACCACTTAAGAATTTCCCTTTTCACAATCCAAACAGACCCTTATGTACAGTTATACGCTCTTCTTCAAGTGCTACTCAAGAAATTGAGAAAGAGGGGCGGAGTGAAATTGAGGGTTTACAGGGTTTGGAGTTTCCGCCGATAAAGGCGGCGAAGAGGGTTGTGCTGGTGAGGCACGGGCAAAGCACGTGGAATGCAGAAGGTCGGATCCAAGGCTGCTCCGATTTCTCTGTTCTTACTTCTAAAGGAGAGTCTCAGGCTGAAACTTCTCGTCAAATGCTTATTGATGACTCCTTTGATGTCTGCTTTTCAAGGTTCTATTCCTCATTTTAATTACCCTTGCTTTTTTTTTTAATAAAATTATTTTCCCGAGAGATTTATGCTTTATTGTACAATAGTACCTAATTTATGATCGAACAAGAACATTGAGTTTGTCTAATGGACTGGTTTGATCCAACTTGGTTTTGAGTTTTTTAAAAATCCCTGAAATAATCCTAAAGAGATGAAAATAAGTAGTAGTAATTCTTTGTCCTCTTAGTAGTTTTAGTGGCCGTTTGGACATAAGAATTGTAAAATTACAAAAAAAAGTGAAAAAAAATTTCAAGTGAAAATGGTATTTGAAAATTAGGGTTGTGTTTGGACATGGATATAATTTTGGGTTGTTTTTGAAGTTTTGTGAGTGATCTGAGCGAATGGAGTTTTTCAAATTTTCGAAAAATTACAAAATGCATCTTCAAGCGAAAATTGAAAAATTTATGACCAAACGCTTATTTCGAAAAAAAGTAAAAATTTTTCGAAAAAAAGTGAAAAATTTCTTATGTCTAAATGGGCTCTTAGTATTTCCAAGTTTCATAATTCGCTGAGTATTTAACTGGCATTCGTGATAGGCACAATTAATGAAGAAATGGAGCATTAGTTTTCCTTTCGGTTGAACGAACATGTTGCGTCCACTAAGAGTAATTGGCTAGTGCAGTAGTTTTTCCTGACTAGGGAAAGAATCAGTAGCCCCTTCATTTATTAGGAGCCCCGGTCTTCTGCTGCTAATCTCAAGTTTCTTCAACAACAACAACAACCCAGGGAAATCCCACAAGTGGGGTGTGGGGAGGATAGTGTGTACGCATAACTTATGCCTACCCCGAGGGAGTAGAGAGATTGTTTCCGATAGACCCTCGACTCAAGAAGACGAAAAGAAATAATATATCATTACCAGCAACAGAAACCAGATCAAGAGTCAGAAATTAGACGGAAAAGCAATAACAATAACCAATAAATACAGCCTGGTACTATGAAAGGAAGAATAGAGTGAACACAAACACTAACCACTAGCCGTCTAAGACAAAACACTATCACACTATCCTCACACCCGATACGAATTAGGAAAATATACAACTAACTCCTAACCTACAATCTTAATGCTCGACCTTCACACCTTCCTATCAAGGGCCATGTCTTCGAAAATCTGAAACCGTGCCATGTCCTGCCTGATCACTTCTCCCCAATACTTCTTAGGTCGCCCTCTACCTCTTCTCGTACCCGTCAAAGCCAACAGCTCACACCTCCTAATCGGGGCATCTGAGCTTCTCTTCCGCACGTGCCCGAACCATCTAAGACTCGCTTCCCGCATCTTGTCATCCATGGGGGCCACGGCCACCTTCTCCCGAATATCTTCATTCCTAATCTTATCCATCCTAGTGTGCCCGCACATCCACCTCAACATCCTCATTTCTGCTACTTTCATCTTTTGGATATGTGAATTCTTAACTGGCCAACACTCTGCCCCATACAACATGGTCGGTCTAACCACCGCTCTATAAAACTTACAAATCTCAAGTTTCTTCCAATTTGACAATTTGAGAACTTTTTCTGCTTTAGAGAAGTGCCAAATCAACTTGTTTAGATTCTGATTGCAACTTAGGGAATGGAACATATTGCAACTACAAAGGCAAAGTATGTTGGTTCAGAAGTATGGACACTTCTATAAGGTCACTTAGGTGAATGGCAATGTCCTGAACTTTTTGGGTTGCTCGAATAGTTGTTGACCTTTGGTATGTCCTAAGCATATCTCAAGATATGTATCTTGACTTTCTATTTTGTGAAGGTGTATATTGCTTTGATGATTAATAACCTTGGAACTTTAAAACGGGGCACAGTAGATAGAAGGTACCCATAACCAAATAAGCTCGTATTTAGCAGCTCGGTTTGTTAGATTCTCGTTAAGGGTAAATTTTGTAGTCTTTGTTGAATTAGAGCACAGTCATACCAGCCAACCTGATATGACCTTCGAACTCTCTTTTCGTACTCCTCATTCGTCTGTTCTACATTTATGGGTTGGGTGGAGGGTCTTAGCAACGCAAATATAAGGAATCCATGTTCTCCAATCCCAGTGTGAACGAACAATGCTTTTCGGGAACATAATTTCTGGTCATCGTAGTCAGGCTTTTTTCGGGTTTATTTACCAAACTGGACAGGGACTATAAGCTTAGGCACTCCAGTATTGAAAACTCAGCTTGAGTGTTTAACTCGGCTCCTTTATCGCTAACCTCTAAGCAAGGATAATATGCTCTTTTAGTGTCTGTATGCTTCAGTTTTCTACTGGTAACTTTTCATTCAAAGGAGTCGTCTTATATCTGTTAGTTCCGATGAGTTAATTCTCTGCAAATTAAAGAGGAGCAAACTAATAACTTAAAGAAATAGATAAGGGAGAAGCAAATTTCCAGATTAACTGCAGCATATGAATTTTATCCTTTATGTTAAATGTCGAAGGTCTATCGTAAACAGCCTCTCTACTTTCTAGGTAGGGGTAAGGTCTGCGTGCACACTACCCTCCCCAGACCCCACTTGTGGGATTATACTGGGTTTGTTGTTGTTGTTTTTGCTGTTGTTGTTGTATGTTAAATGCCGGAGAGCAGTTAAAGGATTTCAACTAATTTGTTCTTAATAAACCTGAGCACAAATTGCATCTGAATTTCACTTTTAGCTAATGCATGTAGAACAATAAGAGTCTCTTCTATTCTTTTTTATGTTTCCAAAATGGTTGACAGAGGTGGGCTGCATGTTCCAGTCCACTGCGTCGCTCGAAGAGGACAGCTGAGATAATATGGGGTGCTCGCGAGGAGGAGATCATTACTGACTCTGACATGAGGGAAATTGACCTTTACTCATTCCAAGTCAGTTAAAGCTTACACACACCTCTGTTTTTTCATCTTGAACTTAAAATCTGTGAATAATTGCAATAGGATGGTGAAAAGATATTCATGTTGTCTGCTTGCATGCGGACCAACTCATGCTTAATATTTCACTGTTCTGAAAACATATGTCTGCTCTAGGGCCTCCTGAAGCATGAAGGAAAAGCTAAATATGGTGAAGCTTTTCGTCAATGGCAAATAGATGCACCTAATTTCATCATAGATGGTCACTATCCAGTGAGAGAGTTGTGGGCTCGTGCTAAAAGATGCTGGGAGAAGATCTTGGTCCATGAAAGCAAATCCGTCCTAGTAGTTGCTCATAACGCGGTTAATCAGGCTCTCATTGCAACAGCCATTGGTATGGTTTGCTTAATATAAGGTTTGTAACATCTGCTAGCAGTCCGAACCTAGCTTTTATATTTGTTTCACCATCAATCAGGATTAGGAACTGAGTACTTCAGGATTCTACTTCAAAGCAATTGCGGGGTTAGTGTGCTGGACTTCACTCCACAACCTGAGGGCGGAACCCCAAGTATTTGCCTTAATCGTTTAAATCAGGTATCTGATCTGGTAATACTTGTACTCAACTTTATACAAGAACAGTTTTATCTATTAAGTGATTATTGATAAAATGGAAAACTTTCTGCTAGTTATCTTCATTGTGACATGAAGATTTGGATGATTTGAAAAACTCTGGCTCAGATAAGAAAATTCAGTATAACATATTTTCCTTTCAGAAAGTTTCTAATGCTTTAATATCATTCCTTTAGATCCATTGATTGGTCAATCCCCTCTCTAAATATAAGAGAGTGCAACAACAACAACCATGCCTAATCACAAGCTAGTTTGGTATTCTAAGTGCCATATGAATTCTCACTATCCATATCGCTCCATTTAGACCCGTCTTAATCCAATATTCTAATTAGGCTCTCTAACACTAGAAGTGATGCTTGGCATGCCTGCTTCTTGCAGAAGAGCCAATGATCTCCGATGGAGGTCGGGCATGCATGCATCTTAAATAACTTTGTACCTGCCAACCCGTTCATTAAGCTGGTCTATCAATAAAGCAAACTAAGAATATCCATTTATTGACCACAGAAATCCTTTCTTTGTAAGTAAAGAAAGAGGGGTTCTGAATTGCTTCCAGAAGTGCTTGCTAATTTAGTTTACTTTAGAATCCCCATATAAATGCATGTTTAGAGTAGCAACTGAAGCTTAGGATCTTATATACCCCGTGATACTTCATGCAGTAAACTAAAATCTGAACTTGACTTTCTGAATCCACTAAACCAGCTGAAAGACATTGATGTAAATGGATCTGCACATATCATTTGCCTCGCGAGAATATCGGACATTTAATTGCTAGCTCCATCAGGATCTAATTTAATGCAAATTCTAAAACTGAGTTTTACATTTAGTTGTCAGATAATTCGAGGTCAACATATGATTTGTAGGTTCAGAACTGCTCTCTTCATTTCTTTGTAACTACTTGATGGATTTTTTTACTTTATGGCTTTATCTGGACTGGACTTCAAGGCTGTGTTTTCTCGTGGTATCTGATTTATCTTTGTGCTGTGACATAATTTTGGATAATGCAGACCCCAGGTTCGCCTGTAGCAGGGGGCAGTTCTGCAGGCAGAAAAGCTAGTAAGCGGATCGTACTTGTCTGCCATGGAGTGTCAGAGAGTGACCTAGAGGTATGCAGTAAGCAATGGACCAATCATTCTGTATTCCCAATGAACAGACATATTAGGCTTCTTGATTTCAAATTTATGATATAACAAGGTGGTCTATGACCCTGAAATAGCGGTTGCTTGGAGAAAAAATTTATGTGAGAACAGAGTTGAAAGCATGGATCTTTTCTGAAAAGAGCCCTTTTGATCCTTATGGAAGTATGATTGTCCAAACTGCTTGCAATTATTTCTGGTTGAAGACTAGTTTGAGTGACAGATACACATAATCAAAGAAAAAAACAAAAAAGAATTGAGTGACACATACATTCGGTGCTAGGATTTTGGTCTTCATCAGCTAATAGAAGAAACTTATCTATCTATTTTATCACCCCCTCATGAGATCATTCTCGAAGATACCACCCTTATAGACAAAACCAATGGATGAACGGGTAAATTAATAGGAAGAAAGGCTATATACGAACCATTCCAGCGACTCTAACTTGAGATCATATTCTTTTTCTAGAGGTGGAGAATGTACTTGCCAAGTTTGAAAATACTAGAGACAATTTCTTCCACCTTTGCAATGGCTTGAGCAATTTTTATTCACAATAGTGACTGTTGGCTCAAAATGCTTGACTTTAGATTTCTCTCTTATGTGCTCAAAGCAAACAGCTTCCACTTTTTAACTTCTTGAAGCTTAGTTATCTTAGAAGTACTTCCAGAATTACAAATAACTTTACTTTTTAGCTTATGATAAGAGATATGGATGACGAAGACTTTACATCAGCAGATCATATTTCTGCTTGAGGACTGCAAAATCTGTTTAAACGAAATTCTATCTTAACTGATTTAACAGATTAGTTTTGAACCTGAGCATAAACAAAGAGAAGGGATATAGGATGTCAGAGGTCACTTTGCACAGATTAAGTAAAAGAAAAAGAAAAAAAACAGCCTTATGTTGGTTGGCTGATCTTGGATGTGGCAATACTGCTTTTAAATTGTTATCCTCAGTGACATAGGAAATTGAGAATGGGGATTAAGCATCTTATGAATGTTTCTTACCTGGTAAACATTGCTTTGCACTCGTAGATTAGGTATGGTGTTGGGGGAGTACTCAGGGTTGTTTGTCATCTACTATATAAATTCTGATTTGTCCTCTCCTTAACTTTCAGGTTTTTAGCCCCAATTTCTTTTAGCATGTTGACAAGCTGTTCAAATTACTCATTGTTTTTTGGGGCGTCATTATCTGTTGCTTTGACCATTTTCTGCTTTTTTTCTCATTGGTGTTGAAATGTTTACAGAGTAGTATGCCGTATTCTGGCAATGGCCCCATGAACATGCTTGGAGTTATACAGGTATGATGGTACTTACAATAGTAGCATTCAGCTTCATATCTGGGGTGTCACAACCTTACAGAATTTTATTAAAATGGGTGACAGGCGCAGAAAATAGCAGAGCTGCTTCTTGATCTGAAAGTGAGTACTATAGTCAGTGGAACTAAAAGGACATCTGTAGAGACAGCCGACACAATCTCCAAAGTAAGACCATTCAGATAGTATGTTGATTGACAGTCCTTTATATAAAGAACATTAGCTTACTTAACACAAAATCGGAAACAGTCTCTCTGCCCTGCCAGGGTAGGGGTAAGGCTGCGTACGTCCTACCCTCCCCAGACCCCATTTGTGGGATTATACTGGGTTGTTGTTGTTGTTGTTCCTTACTTAACACAAAATTTTATACTGAATTTTGTAGGTTCAAGAAGCTGCTGACTGCCTTGGAGCTGACTGTATCCCACGCTATGTGGAGACGAAGCAGATACCAGATCTAGATGTTGAAACTATTCTAACACAATCGAAGAAGGCAAGAGACATGTTCCTGATTTCCTAAACTTAAACAAATTGACGAATTTATTAAGAGCGTTGCATGCAGAACATTCTTAAGATAAAAAATATAAGGATGCATCTGTTTTGAGATTGGAAGATTTAAAATTCTGGAGCCGTTGTCATCAAAACTTCTTGATTTGCTCTGAATAAATCCTGCAAAAAATGGCTATTCACCTTATATTATTTCTCGCTTTCAAATTTGAACTTTTATAAAATCAGTCTACTACCAAAAGGGTTGGTTTTAGAATTCACGATTTCACAAACCTTATTGGATTATGGTTTATTCATTAATAATCCTTATCAGAAGTTTACAAGTACAAGAACACAGTCAATTAGTTAGTCTGTGATCTGAAGGGTTGTTCTTCTAGTGGTTATGTGGGAGTCTAAATTATTTATGTTGCAGATTTTGGTGAATCGGTTGTTTTTATCCTATAGCTCACTCCTACACTATTGGATTACTGGGTCGTTGTTGTTGTTGTCTGTGCACACATATTTTTGCAGTTGATATGCTTTCCATGCTTAAAATATTGAGCTGCTTCCTCTGCAGGATGCATCAGGAATGCAAAATGTTCCATCTGGTTGGTTAAATAGCTTGGAAGACGGCGTGGCAACATCTTTATGGGACCAATCTGGGAAAGCATGGAAACATGTATTGCATGAACTATCAGAGAGATCTGACGAAGAGAGTATAGTCATCGCTGTTGGCCATCCTGCACTTCATATCGCAATGATGGGACACTGTCTCAATCTGACAAAGGAATGGTTGGGATCGTTTCACCTGGATGCAGGCAGCATTAGTGTTATTGATTTTCCCGATGGACCTTCGGGGAGAGGAGTTGTCCGCTGCATAAATTATACAGCGCATCTAGGAAGATGGTCAATTCCTATTACTAGATCAACGCAAGCAGATGAAGAATATTGAAGTGTAAATGTACATAGTTGTGGAACTAAAACAATGTTAATGTAACAAGCACAAGAGTAAGACAGTTCGGAAATATATGTCAGTTGTATATTGCTGATAAATGAAGGGGACCTTGGAGCGCTGTTCTCGTGTGACCTATAGGTCATAGGTTCGAGCCGTGGAACCAGCCACTAATGTTTGCTGTTGGGATAGGCTGTCTACGAGTGCAGCACTTTCTTGGACTTTCCGTGAATGCGGGATGCTTTGCGTACTAAGCTGCCCTTTTTTGTATATTGCTAATAAATGGAAACGAGACGTTCAGTTTATTCATTTCCAAGGCCATGTCTTTATGAGCTTGCCTCTACTGAGAAGTAATATAGCATATTCAACTTCACAAGCATTGGACTACTGATCCAATGGTTTTTATTTTTAATTGGTGCCACAGTGAAAATTATGTAAGGTGAGTTGTTGAAGTTTCAACCAACTTGCATTTTCGAACCGGCTTTTCCAACATTTTTATCTTCTGTTAAATATAGGTATAATTGAGTTATTTTTCCGTTACATAAATTAGTTAACTTTAGCGCGATAAACTGAAAGTTGAATAACCATTCGGGAAATTAACTCTATAACAAACTGCTCAGCATACTAGCCATCATGCACAAGCATTTTTTATACATCTATAGTGCTGAATCGTCGATCTTAACTCATACTTTAAGATCGGGCATTTTTACAGACTATTATTAAAAGTTTAAAACTGCAGTAATTGTTCTTTCATCTGACTTTATATCACAGCTGTTAATATTGTCAACGAATTCAATGGCTCCAATTGACCCTCGCACATAAACAAAGAGAAAAGGCCCCCATTGTACCCACCCGAAACGGGAAACAAAGGTTCTTCGTGTGCATGGATCGAGTTGGTTCAATTTTTATTAAAACCAAGCCAAATCAACTATATCGATTTGGATTGGTTCGGTTTTATCGGATTTTTAGGGTTTTTTGTTACTTGAATATTATTTCAATATTACTTTATTAACGTTATAGATAAAGTTTTGATAAGTGAATATATGTTTAGTAAAAATTGAAATAATTGACAAACATATGACTTATTAAAATATTCTTATGGAGAATCTTTTCTAGTAACACATGATAGTTATTTTCTTAATCGTCTAATAATAATTTTTCGTTGATGTACGCTTTCAAGATTAACCAATTTAAGTAATTAAATATAAAAATCAATATGATACCAAAATAATGATATGTTCTATTTAATTTTAAATATTGAAATACCATTTCAAATTCGAAAAAAATAAAAGAAATCTTGACATATGAATAAGGAAGAACAAAGAGATGATTGACCCATTTTAATAACACTTGATAAGAAAGTGATACGACTCATTATTTAAAGTAAATAAAAATGAATGCACTTCATAATTCTATTAAATATTAGGATCTCAAATATTTCTAGATATGTTTTTAAAGAAAATTCAATATAAAGTCTTAAAAATATATATTAAAATTATATACTTATATGTCGGTTTGATTTGGGTTTTTTTTACTCAATACCAAACCAAATCAAATCAAACCAGACCTAGTCGAATTTTTTAATCGGTTTGGTTTGACTTTTCGGTTTGGTGCAATTTTCCGGTTCGGTTTGAACACCCTACTTCTCAGCAGAAATTAGAATTCAATTTGTTGGAGATCTCAACACTAATCTAACGTGCAGTGATCTCAACTCAAAAAGTCATACAAGTTAACAACTAAAAGAATCAGCTAATATATGCTTTATATAAAAAAAATTTAAAGTCAAATATACCATTATTACCTAATTTACATTTGCACCGGTTTATAGATGAGACGAACAACTTTGCCTTCAAAGGAAGGATCAAGGAATTAAAAGGTATTATTTTTTTTTCCTTTAAATAAGTATTGGACGACTTCCAAGCAGTGGCGTAGCCCCTCTATGCCAAGGGTGGTCAAGCGCACCCCATTCGCTAAAAAATTATAATGTGTGTATAAGTTAAAAATTAATTTTGATTTATAAAATTATAGTTATATTATATTTTTTTATTGTTTAGCTATATGTTGTGTAGTTTGATTCAAAAATTTTGGTACATCATTCATCGACAAAAAAATTATTGACTTGTTTAAAGTTTGAACACTCTTGACGCTACGCCACTGCTTCCAAGGAGCTACAGAGAATTACAAAAAAACTCAATTTTCTTCAATAATATTATAATTCTGGCTTTGGAGATGCATTTATGGTGATGCAGAAAGTGTATATTAATTTTTTTAATTTGCAATTGGGGATGGAGAACAAAAGAAGCATGGCATAAGAGGAGAACTGCACATGTTGCCAGTAGATGAGAATTGAGATGTCCGTTTAGTTTTCTCTGAGTTTCTTTAATTCACCTTCCGCAAAACATAAATAATTATATTAAGTAGTATATATCTCCTTGGATCAAGCCATTTGTCGATTATTAATTGTAAAAAATGCTATATTTGTGTTATAAATTTCAATATCCGAAAATTCCATACCCCTTTCTTCATATAGAGGCAACAAATAAATTTCAAATAAGATATCTTTTACAAATTCATATATATCCAAATAATAGAGAAGTACGAGTAATGTAATGAAATAAAAGACTGTCTCTCTGTAGATGCACGAAGACTTGTTTTTTTATAAGTCAACTTGACAAAACCGCTCGTATATGAAAAAGAAAGAACACCTCTTGAGAAGGTTTTCGAAATATGATAATGAAATCAGTATTGACTAGAACATAAAAATGCTAAATAAATGTACTTATAATAAACTATTTTCTTCTCCTTAGTTGTTAATTGTCTAATATTGTGTTTGCAGCTTGCGAGTCTTCTGTTTCTTGTCACTCTAACCCAAAACACGCTTCATCTAATTAAGATGACTTTGCTCACAAGACAATTTTATACCTATAATATAATTAAGCAAATTCTTGTAAACAATTAAGCCACTTGCTCCACAAGTAGGTCATTCTATAAAATCATTTGAAGATTAACTTCTAAATATGATTGTCTACTATCAAATTATCTAAAAGATGATTATAGATATCAATTCATAATATAATAAAAAAGAAACTATAATTTTCTAAATAATAAAACAGACAACTTTTTATTTATTAAATTACACCGATAATATAGTCTTTTAACTCTATGTATGTATGCAAGTAAAATCCAATCGTGAAATGCATGAGGTTTTTAGCATGCCACTAAACTAATTTCATAATAATAGTTCTCTTGGGCTCAGAGAGAATCTTTCGATATGCTATAACTATAAGACCAAAAGTGAAGAAATCTCCTTTAGTGTGATCCCCATTATTCTAATATTTAATTTTCCGTTGTTGCCTCCACGTTCTAGAGTAGTTTCTACTTGCTACACAAATAGTTGGCAGCTACCTTAACAAATACTAAGGGTGTGCTCTTATAGGAAACAACAAAAACCTTTTTTGTCTGTCTTAATATATCAAAGTATTAGGGGTGGAGTTACAATATTAACTTCGGAGGGATTCAATAATTTTTGCTTATATTATATATTATAATAGAAAATTTATTATATATATATATAATTTAATTGAGAATTTAGTAATTAAAACGAAGTTCATAACCATAAATATTAAATCCCCACTCCTTTTCAAATCAGAACCCATCATGTTAATAGCATTCCGCTAAAATAAAGATTCCATAAGTGGCAGTTTGATGGCTGAAAACCTTATATTGCAGCGTTTTGACCACTATGAAAAGAAGTTTGGGATTTCATAAAAGTAAAACACAGTCAACAAGTTTAATTTCTATAACACATGGAATTATTGATAGGGACATAAGTTTAAAGTGTTTGGCTGCCTAACAAAATGGGATTGTTGAAAATCAGACATAAATTAGTTAAATAATTGTCCTCTTTTTTCTCACCAAAACTAGGATGAATATCTTCTTGAAACTCTCCTAACAAAACCTAACAGAAAAGCATGCTCTTAGTGGAAAATCCAAGGACTACACAATACAATTGTGGACCATATATGATATAACAAGTGATTCAATAACAGAAATTTACTTCCTGAATTGATCTTTTCTCCCTTCTTTTCACTAATTCTTGGGTGCATTTTATATATATATATATATATGCATGAAAACAATTCCTCTCTTTTGTATATATCCAGAAAGACACTTCTTCCGATCTAATATTAGCCGTTACAGTAAACTGAATTAGTTTGAAAATATTTAATGTATAAAAATAAAAAGTTATTCATTACTTTTTATTTGTCAATTTTACTCTTATTAGTCAAGTTAGTGAGGTGTTAATAGAATGAGATGTTTAAGAAGATATAAAGAGTAATTTAGACAAATATTCATATGATTAAGGCTGTTAATAATATACCAAGGGGTATGCAACAACTTTAAAAGATAAATAATATGGATCAGAGCCTCAGATGTAATATATTTATAATGTCCTTATGGAATTATATGCTTTTGAACGGGAGTTTTGGCATAACTAATAAAGTTGTTGTCATGTGATCATGAGGTAATGAGTTCGAGCCGTGAAAATAGCCTCTTGCAGAAAGGCAGGGTAAGACTGCGTACGATAAACTCTTGTGGTCTCGCTTTCCCGGACCCCTTTTTATGGAATTAAATGCTTTTGTAATAGATTTCACATTTTGTATTCATTTCAACTAGGCGAAAATGTTTATGATGTCTTTCTTTCTCACATCTTTTTGCTTGTTTCTTTTTTTCTTCTCTCTTCTTTTCCTTTTTTGGGAGGGAGAAGTCAAACTATAGTGAAACTAGCTGTTCGTTCAAGAGGTATTCCCGTTTGCATTTCGTGAGAATCAAAATGTTAAATTTTGCTCTAGTTCTGATTTGGCTGAAACATTGAACCACGAAAGAAAAAGCTTCTACCATAAAAAACCATTAAAAAGGAGTTAAAATTAGAGTACGATTATATGTTTAACATATATACTAATCATAACTATACATCTGCAGTTCTTTGAACATGATTAGGCCTTTTCATAATTATCCTTTTCCTTTTCAATACTGTTAGCTGTTTAATCCTTACCCATTTTAGCTTCTTTTATAAACCAATGATGTAGCTTTAACAGATCAGTGTGCCTCTTTATCTTTTACTTTTCCTTTTAGTAATTAAGCATGTTTTAAATTTGTAAACGCTTGAAATTAAATGTCTTTTCTTTTTCCAAGCTTTTGCTGTTACGTTTTAAATATTTTATATATCGTTTTTTATTTCTTACTTTTCTCTTCATTAGGTACGTTGGGAAAAGGTCATGGGGAGACTGGGTACAGTGATGTGAAAGCAGTATATAAAAAATTTAATAGATTCATGGGTGTTACAATAGAAATTTAATGTTCCTTCTCCTACCTGCAACGTCCGCACTATAAATTTATGCGTCCAAACATAAAGAATTACTTATTCCCCTCAATATCACAATAAAGATGAAGATAAAAATAACAAAAACAGTTACAGTAAATGAATAATGAGATCAAAAAGGGAAAAGAAGATGAAAATAACTCTACCTGCATATTTCTTTAGCTTTTAATCATATCTGTTTTTGGGGTTAGGAGTTGGTGGGTCAGCAGACTAGTTTTAATTTTAGGGGCCAACTCTCACTATCATAATCTCTCACACCCATCCTTTAATTGATTAACCCTTTCCCATTAAAATATGGAGTAAAAAAAGGTCCCGTATAAAGAAATATAAATGAAAAGGATTCTTAAGAATTTTTAAGAGTATTTTAATACCTTACTTGCCTTATTTTTTAATTTACGTTCATTTTATTTTGAACCGTTACTTATGATTATCTTTTGAGTGATCTAATATCATAAAATCTTTTAAATTGTCACTATAAAAGCTCAAGAAACATATACAAAAAAGAAATATAAACTAAATAGATTGTGCTTAATTATGGAAAACTTACATGTATCTCCTTGTAGCGGAAATAGAAAGACATATTGAACCGCATCTCAAATCACTGGTCGGCGATGATGCAGAATGAATTCGCTATGTTACAACTCAAACCCTAATTTGTGATGCGGTAGAGAACAAAATATACCGAGAGTTCTATCTCTAGCATAACTTGAGCATACACTGTTAGAAATAATGTTTTAGAGCACTCCTTTAGTTGGACTCTTATTTCCAACAAAAGCTAAATTCAAATAATAATTAAAAATTACCCTTAGTTAAACTCCAATTCATCTGCATTGCTTGATCTTTGAATTCCTTCAACTTCACTCTTACCGTTAGAAACTTTCTATACTAGCTCAAATCATGCGACTTTGTCGTGTACAAGAAATTTACACTTGTTCTCTATCCAACGCTCCAAATACTCTTATAATTTTTTGATATCCAACTTTATTCATGTCTCGACGCCCATAAGTCAAAGTTCAAAAAGGGTGAAGTCTACAACCTTATTATATGGCACGCACTTATCGTCTTTATACTGCACACAGTTAATGTTCAGAAACTGAAAATTTATTGCTTTCTGTGTATTAGTCAATCATGAATCCTAAAACTACAAGAAACGGAATTAAAAAAATTGATTAGACTACTAATATGCAACTTCTACTACATTTCTACTTTTACTCTTGACCCATCTTAATGACTTTATTATTTATTGTCCTTAAATTATACAGTAATGTTTTATGTTATTTTTTAGTACTAGTATCTCAGATGAACTGGCAAGAGAGAATAAAGAAATAGTACTTGCAAAGGTTTTGTCTAAGAGTTACTTGTATTCTTTCCCTTTTCCCCTTCTCCTAAGTTGCAAATTTTAAGGTGAGAGAGAATCATATTTAATACCTTACATGGGCTGTCAGGAAAGTGGATTTATAGTTCCATCTTCCTCTGAAATTTCCCAATTATAATAATTCCAAAACAAGTCCTTCCAAATCTCCCTTTATTTCTTCCTACTAAAAAGCTTTTTAGCACACGCAACTCCCCCATTTCTTCAGATCTCTTCTCATTTAGCAGAATAATTAAGTATCAAGAAATGAGAGACTTTGCTTCTTGTTTCAATGAATATGCAGTACAAGTTTCTGATACTTCTTGTTCTAGTTACTCAAACTCTGCTTGTATCCCTCCTTCTCTGATTCCTTCAATTCAAAACACTGTCACTTGTTTGTATAAAGTCACTCTCTCCAATAAAAAACAGGTCTTGATCACAGTTTCATGGTCCAAAACAAATAGTATAACACAAGGCCTAAGTGTACACTTTGGTGATGATCCTTCAAATGTCTTCAAACTCAACACGAATTCGCGTCTTTTTAGGAAGAAAAGGGGAAGCAAATCACTGGATTTGGATCATTTAAAGGTTGAAATTTTCTGGGATTTATATGCAGCCAGGTATTTATCAGGTCCTGAACCAATTGATGGCTATTATTTACTAGTCAAAGTTGATTCACAACTTGGCCTTATTATTGGTGACATGGCTGAAGAAGCTTCATTAAGAAAGTTAAAAAATGGAACTCCAATGGCCAAGTTCTCATTGGTTTCAAGAAAAGAATACTTTTCAGGGAATACCCTTTATTCAACAAAGGCTCAATTTTGTGACAATGGCACAAGTCATGACATATTAATTCGTTGTAGCGGCGAAAATGAAGGTCTAAAGCATCCTGTTTTATCAGTTTATATTGATAAAAAGATGGTGATTAGAGTTAAAAGGCTGCAATGGAATTTCAGGGGAAATCAGAGCATATTTGTGGATGGATTGTTGGTTGATCTAATGTGGGATGTTCATGATTGGTTCTTTAATCCAACATCTGGTTGTGCACTTTTTATGTTTAGGACAAGAAGTGGAATGGATAGCAGACTGTGGTTAGATGATAAAGACAAATTGCTGCACAAAGATCCAGATAAAGTTGAGTTTTCATTGTTGATTTATGCCTCTAAGACCACATAAATTAAAGGTTTAATTTTCTCTTTTTTTTTATTTTTCTGTTTTCTTTACTGAAAATCCAATAGTGGGGTTTAATTTCTTCTTTAACATTCATGTGAATTTCTCTCACTTTAAACTTCATCCCTCATGAAAGGAAATAACTTTGATCTTGATAGAAGGGCAACAACTTGAGGAAATTCAGATTTGACATTGTATATTGTTATTTTGTGGGTCTGAGTGATAAGAAATATAAACAGATTGTTTTTTTTTTTTACTCTTATAGAGATTTAACTTTTCTTTTCATGGGTTTATCAATGTGGATGTGTAGATAGAGATTTGACTTTTATTTTTGAGTTTTTCAAAGTGGATTTGCAGATAAAAGGTTGTAAAAGGGGAAGACAAACTATGACTAAATCTTACATTGTACTTCTAGATTTGGAAGACTGTTGTTTGTACTTTTCACTGTTTCAATCTTTCTGTTTATATGTCTATATTTGAAGTTAACTGCCCGGCTAATCAAGATTCATTCTGGCAAGAATAATTTCGGCTTTGACAAGAGAATTTAGAGTCTCCTGACAATGATCTTGTTGTTCATTATTTTCTTTGTGGACTACTATATTATCTTTGTCCAATTAGCCTGCAAAGATTTTCCAAGAAAAAAAATGATTGATATTTTAGATCATCAGCACCAAATGGTATGACCTGGTGGTCAATGAAAGGAATGGAGTATTACACGGCCTCATGTTCAATTTCCAACGGATACAAATACTAGATGATTTCTCCTAATCTGCCCAAGCGTTAGTAGACACAATTATCTACCTATGCTGATAAAAGATAACATATATATTCTTAATAGTTAAGATGCTTGCAAGTCATCAACAAGAAAAAAAAGATTTATATGTCGGACAGGCATACAGAGGAATCAAAAGGATGATAAGATGTTGTAGACACATGTTTTAGGGAGGTTAGGTGAGTATACAGAGTTTCTTCCCTATGTCATAAGGCAACGAAAGTGAGATTGCCAGTTAGATTCAAACAGATTGGATGTTGGCATGTTTATCTTTATTGGTACCTTTAATTATAACCACATTTATGGGACCCTATTACCTTTTTGTTTGGATCTCTGATTACTCATTGTAGTACGTTTACTTTTAGTCTACTGCCAAGAAATACTGCCCCAGAAAAGCCTCAAGAGCCACGTTAGGGGGATCCACGTTGGTTCAAGTGAGTCAGTTGAATACGCTTCGTAAAATAATTATACTATTTTTATAGGTAAATTATTTTTTCAAGTACCAAAATGAAGTTAAATAATAAACGTTGAACCCTCTTGAGATAAGGCGGAATGTGGTGCAACGGTTCAAGCGGGGTCATCAAGGGTGGAAGGGCCAGGTTACGAGTCTGACTACCTTCCCTTTCCTTCCTTTTCATGTATATCCTGTTTTTTTTCAAAAAACGGGAATCTTTAAAAGACCAACCATATATCTAAGGCATTGGGTCTTTAAAAGATTAATCTCAATAATTTTATTCTTAAATAATCTTCCAAAGACTAAAATGGTATTCTTCTATCTCAATTTCACATTTATTTATTTGAAATCTTTTAAAGTATTTTGCTTTCCTCTTTCTCATGGTTTACAAAGCACTTATCTTTTTAAGAAGTTATTAATCCGGTTTAGTTAATAGTTCACTTCTATTTGTTATTGTCTGCAATAATTAGCTTGTAAAAATAAAATAATTTTGAATTTGTAAGATTTAAACAAATAAGTTGAATTTAGTATTTTGGTATCGATTAAATTGATGTTTGTTAAATAAAATTATTAAAATTTTATAAAATTTAATAAATTGTTAAATCTAAGAAAGTAAATAAAAAGCTGTTAAAATTTATCCTTATATGTTTTTAAAAGGCGACTTCAAAATACAAAAAAACAAAGAAGTAGCGAGCAAAACTTTTTTTTTGGAGGTTTTGTTATGAACCGAAACAAAGAGCCAAAGGTGAACTATATTTGTTAAGCCCTAATAGTACTTCTATTGTCGGATGCAGCTGAAGGTTCAGTCTTTATTTGAACCCGCTTGTATAAAATTTTGGGTCCGTTACTGAGCCACGATATATATTACCATACGCTAATTCATATATTGAGCAAAGCAAATTAGTGACGAAGCCGGAATTTTTACTAAGTGGTTAAAATATAAGTAAGTAAACCTACGAAAAAGCTAAGAGATATCGATATGTAGGATACAAGAACAACAACCCAGTAAAATTCCAAAAGTAAGGGGTCTGAGGAGGGTAGTGTATACGCAGTCCTTACCCCTACCTCCATGGAGTAGAGAAGATGTTTCCGATAGACCCTCGGTAGATGTCAACATGTAGGATATATGCATAAAAAAAGATTATCGAGCTACACAGTGTAATTTTCAAGCGCAATATCGGTTGACACCTCTCGAATATATGTGGCTTCGTCGCTGAAGCAATCTGAAGTACAGAGGGAAATAACAAACTTGAAGCTCACATCAAGCAACACAGAAACAAGAAGGCAGAAAAGAGAGGTGGGGCTAGTTATATGAGCTTCAGAAGAGTTCAGTAGTCTTTAATTAGAGCTCCAAATGACTCATTAATGTTTGCATACCAGATGGATTTAATATGCAAACAAATATAATAGTGCAGCCTAATAATGATGCGTCACAAGTTTTTCTAGTACTCTTGTTCAAATCTGACCATTGAAAAGATGAACAAGGAGTCAACACTCAAGGGGGTGGACTATTTTTCAATAAAGGAGGTAAAAATTATGGGAGATTAGAGTTCAAGTTTCAGTATGGACAAAAAACGCCAGCATTTTTTTTTTCATCTATCTAAATCTTAATTGGTGGACAGAGTTACTTGGCGATCACATAGATGAAAAATAGTAGACACCTAGTGAAATAGTCTAGGTACGTGCAAAACTAACCCGGATGTCTCTATTACTAAAAAAAAAAAAGACAGAACAAGGAGAGATTGCAAAATTAATACTCACTCCGTTTTAATTTAGATGAAATAGTTTGACTAGGCACGGAGTTTAAGAAAAAAAAAGTACTTTTGGAACTTGTGGTCTTAAAAACTTATGGGGTAAAAGCTTTGTGGAGCTATGACATTGTGTGGTTATAAAAGCTTCTCATTAAGGGTAAAATGAATAAAATAAAGAGTTTAAAGTTAAATTATTTCCAATTGTAGAGTTGTGTTATTCTTTTTAGAATATACGAATAAAGAAAGTGTATCATATAACATGAAACGGACGGAGGAGTACACAACTTCAAGCTGAGACAAGGGAGGGAGGTGGACCAAATACAAAATGGGACAGCTATTGTTAAACTTAAACCACAACTTGTAAATATACATCAATCTTTTGTTGATAATAAGAAAGGAACATCACTAAAACACTCTCCCCATCATGAACCCACCTCCAAATTGTACAAATTTGCACCCATCCACTTGATCCTATAAAAAAGAAAAGAAAAATATAATACTTAATTTTCAAAATTAGTACCTAAAAAGAAAATAATTAGGGCGGGTGGGAGTCGCTGAACTGTTTTAGATATAATAATTTTGCAATTTCATATATTTAATTGTCATAATTAATGTTCTCATCTTTTCTTTCTATTTATCCGGCAGTGGCATTTGTTTTCTAGAATGATAGAGTACTAAGAATTCAGTTATTAATGTAGTCGTTCGTTTGCATTGGGTTGTGCCATATGCATCAGATTTTGGGTAAGATTACCGGATATATTTTTTACTTTCTCCGTCTCATATTACGTGTCGTGTTTCTCTTTTACACGTCCTTTAAAAAATATTAATTAGAAAAAAGATTGGATTATTCTATCATTATTTATGTCATAAGAAATAATCTCTCTTCATTGAATATTTATTCTATTTATGTGTTATCTCCATCATCAAGAATAATTATTACTAAGGGTAAAAAAGGGAAAAAAATAATCAGTTTTGTCTTGAACTTCAAAAATGACAAATAATTTGAGACAACTATTTTTAGTAATCACGACTGTTAATACGAGACGAGGGAGTAACAATAAGCCAAGAAAATGACAAAAGAGGAGAAAATAAATATGCACTGTCTTAAATGTAGCAAGATTTTAATTCTTAAATTTCAATAATAGATGGGAATTGAAAATCACTGAATACTAAATGCTCCTGCCACACAAGTTGGGATTGATTAGTCATGTTGTACTTTGTGGATTGAGGTCATGTTGCACTCTTCTTTTAATGGTTCATTACTTTAACAAAGTAGCTAAATGTCTTTTCTGAGAAAATGAATATTCCTTTACTATTTGTAACATTTTTATTTAGTTCATCAATCATCTCTATGATTATATTTATGAATTTATAAATTCGTAAGAAAGGTTCAAAGAAACTTGCATTACATGGGCAATGAGTTCAGCAGTAATTGTTGATTGAGAACTTTAACCAAGAAAACCTTTTGATTATTCCCTCCGGTCCACTTTAATTGATTTTTTGGTTTTTTTTTTTGGTCTATAATAATTAATTTTTTTAAATATCAAGAAGGTATTAACTTCTTTTTTCCAAAATTATCATTGGGATAAAGAGTCTAGAAATATTTGTTATATTTTCAATAAATAAATCAAGACTAATGTGGTCAATTTTTTTATTAATTAATGCTAAAATATAAATGCTTTCATATGTATAAAAACTACTGAAGAATCAATTAAAGTGGATAGAAGGGAAGTAAATTAAGGATTGCTTCACATTCTTATAAGTTTGAATACCATTAACCTTTGTAAATGCATGTCGTCTTGGGAACTTAACAAAGAAAAATCATTTTATATTGTATTCCCTCCGTCTCATATTATGTGTTGTATTTCTCTTTTACACGTCTCTTAAAAAATATTAATTAGGAAAATGATTGGATTATTCTACCCTTATTTATGTCATAAGATATAATTTCTCTCTGTTGAATATTTATTCTATTTATGTGTTATCTCCATCATCAAAAATAATTATTACCAAGGATAAAAAAGAAAAAAATAATCATTTTTATCTTGAACTTCTAAAATGACAAATAATTTGAGACAATTATTTTTAGTAACCACGATTGTTAATATGAGATTGAGGGGGTATTATTTTTGTCTTGAACTTCTAAAATAATAAATAATTTGAGACAATTATTTTTAGTAACCACGATTGTTAATATGAGATTGAGGGGGTATTATTTTTGTCTTGAACTTCTAAAATAATAAATAATTTGAGACAATTATTTTTAGTAACCACGATTGTTAA